ACCCCTTTTTATTATTCCCTCTTGGTCAATGCTTCCACGAGAATAATTAGCCCTATGCAATTTTTTGACAGCTTAATATATCAGCTGGCGTAAATTGCTACCGGATTTGCGATAAAAATGGTAAATAACGTCCGAAGTGGACATTTGTTCGATAAATTAATATCTTACGTCAAATTAATATCTTACTTGCTAATGACGAGCAGCTCTCGATGTTCCCTTTCCCTTCCCAGCGATTCGGCGGTTCATTTCTTTCTATATCCTTATATTTTCAATAAATCTTGCGCATTCTTTCTATAGTAAATAAATAATCGCAACCATTTACAATTTTATTGTAAATAAATAATAAAAATATATTTCCGACTCGCGCGCTTTTTATACGCGAAGCCAGCTATCGAAGGCGATATTAGGCGAACTAATAATACCGTCCACAAACGCGACTTTTCACGGATACGCATTGTCACATGTACTATCGTGCATATCATAATACTCATATTCGCCGTCGCTAATTTTGCATGTTGTCTATGTATGTTCACGGCCAATTCGTGGCCTTCCAATTTGCGTCACCGTTATCGCGAATTTTTCACGCAATAGTTGAGTTTCTCCGAGTTTCCTTTTCCCTGTCTTCACAGCAAAAGAAATAACGCACGGAATGTTTAATAAAGGTGAGCTCGTAAATTTGACACAAGATCCGATCTATTGAACGATAAAAAAAACATGCATTTGCATCTGCATTTGTCGCTCAAATTCACGTTTCGAGAACGTACATTGATTTGTTTTTTCACTACGTATATTTTCACTACGAGTTTTCTTTACAGACACGCGCTAGGACAGACGCAAGTAATTAGTAATAGAGAAAATCTTGGATACACCTCGGTCTAATAAATTCGGAAAATTGCCATTATATTATCAGAATTGATTGGAAGTGCGAATGTCATAATTTTCCTGTCGAATTAATGTTATTTTTTTTCGTATTTCAGAAGAAGCGACGTGGAAACGTCGTTTAATAATTTCTTAAAATAAGCAAAACGCGATGATTCACCTATAAAGCTATAAAACCATCGTTACTTTCGCATTCTTTCATCGATGTTCTAATCGTTATTCGATGGATACAATTATTGTGCATAATGCAATTTACATTTGAGCTAAGTCCAAATAATGAACGATCTCGATTAGATTTTCAGAAAATCGATCTTTTTCCTTCGAAAATTGAATTTTAAATCGATTTGTTACTGTTCAATTTTTCTACAAATCGATTCTTTCGAATGCTGATCTCATAATCAATGTGAGTCCTTCATTAAACAAAACAATATTGATGAATAAGCATATCAATAGATCAAAAATTGATTATCTATTGAAAAGTAGCGACAAAAATCGAAAAGGATCGATAAAAAAATAATCTTTTGTAGGAAAAAATCGACTTTTTGAAAATCAAATCCAGTATACGTATATCGCATATTGTTATATATAGCAATTGTATCCTTAAAATAATACTACATGAAGAATAGCAACATACACAATATTCAAAGTACACATAGAGAAACAACAGTCTTTTATAATTAAAGCGCGTCTGACTAGCTTTTGCTTTGCAGGTAAGAAAAGTTGAATATTTAATAAAACGTTTAATATTTAATAAAAATTATTTGAAAATTTATTTCGCGTTTTTAACGTAACGATGTAGATTTCTTTATTTAATTATATAGACAATAAAACTTTGGTGTTATTTTCTTTATTTTTTGTTTAAAGAAAGTTTATAAGAAGAAGTTATGTATTGTGGTACGCAACAAACTTGTTTAAAAGTCATAATTTAAACTTTATAAATAAATTAAGTACGTTATTAAATTTATTAAATATTTAAAAAGCTTATTATGTTAATTTCCTTTGATACTTTATATTTTAATTATCACATAATAAATTACATATTAAATATTCGTATAATTATACATACATGATTATTGTTTGCATTTTTTATCTCGGACAAAACAAGATAATATATCGTTCTCTTTATTTCTTTAAGTGAGGCAAAACATGTTTCCTGACAAGCGACGAGAAAGAGTCGCATTTTTTGGAAAGAAACCGTTGCAACTCAACACAAACACTCATCTTTTTTATGATTCTCGCAGCGAATTCGGAAAGAGCGATCTCGAAAACCCCTATTAATGTACTTTGGATTAAAGTTTTCAAGCATTTTCATAAAAATTCATAACATTGAAATCAACGCGAAATTTCTCCCCCAGCCGACATTAATGGGTTAATTTGTAACCAAAATAAAAATGGCTCGAGTGATGCCCGAATGTACAATCGTGCTTGATCGCAGAGAAAATCATCGTGGAAGTCCGTCGAGATCGGCGATATAGTACCGCTGCTACTTCTTATGATCGCCGCTTTGTTCGTCAGCTGCGTTGTCCAAATCGTAGAACGCATCATCTACAAGAGTTTCTTCAAGTAGAGGCGATTGGGAATTAATAAACACGATGGCACAGCTGAATGTGTGAACAGTCAATGCTGCTTGTTCGTTACATTCTTGTTTAATATAATTCTACCGATCTTTCAGTCGTTTAATCTTGTTTTAAAATTGTACATTATTGTTTCGTACACTATTGTAGCCCATTCCACGATATAGATCCCGATATAAATAGCACAAATACATTATACCACATTTCAAATATACTTGATCCCGATTACCGTGTTTGTAAACAGTATCACGGCACTGCGTAGTGTATCAGGAGATTTACCGTGCTATCGTGCTCTCCGAGCAACTGCCGATTCTCGGCAGTTGACTCGGAGAGCACGGTAGCACGGTAACTCGGAGACTGACTAAAGGAACAAAGGTAACTTGTGTTACATCTCGTACATTTCTCATATATATCGCCGAAACTTTAATTTATCTTCGTTGGATTTATAGTTCTTATCGTCACCAAGTTAATAATTAATAGTACACTTTTACATATATACTATTTAAATAACATTGCACATATTAATTAATTGATTGTGAATCATCCTATGGGCGCAATTTGCAATTGTAGAGCCATGTCGAAGAATTTTTGCTGGACGGAATGTCACAAAAGAACAATCTCGAAGCCTAATTCGACCGAGGAGAAGGAAAATATAAATCCGAGTCAAAATGCCAAGTTCGTTGAAGGTAAGAGCGATATAGAAAAGAAGAGAGGACTATCAGCGGATGCGGAAAATCGGAGAGACGATGTCACGTGTACGACGTCGATGCTGCAAAAGCTTACCATCCCGGGCAAAGGTCAATTCAAAATTTATCGCGACGAGGACGAGAGATCGCGCCCGCTCGTGCGGAAAAGCGCGTGCAGGAAAGAAATGAGAAGAAGGATTAAGAGAAGAGACTCAGAGGAATCAGCAGTTTGTACGGCGCTTGAAAGAGAGGAGCATACTCGTTTCTTAACACCTACTGCTTCGTACAGGTGAGACGGACGGTTTTCGATAAATCTGGCCAAAAACTGAAAAGAAATTAAATAAAAGTGTGTTACTCTTTGGAGCAGGACACGTTCTTTGAGCAACAACCGAAATAGAGTTTCTTTACGTGAAAACAACAAGTTGCACGGATCTGTAGATCAGAGGTAATTCTATGTTCATACATGTGCACGATATCAAATATTATCATTAGTAATACGTCGCCTATAGAGTTTCCAATCCCGGATACAATTTAGGACCCCGGGATCTCGGGATCCCGGGACTAGTCCCGGGATTATATATATGTAAAGAAAGAAACAAGGAATATTTACAAATAATAGAATTATTTTATTTATAGAACGTTCATCATAGACTTTTATGAACATTATGACAAAGAAAAAGTAAAATTTCAGTAAAAATGATAGCAACTTACATTAATGATTGCACAAAAACCGTTACAATTAAAAATTAAAGCTTTTGTAATAAAAATAAAAAGAATTATTTCTTCTTTTTCACATTGAAAAAGCGACTTTAAAAATAATGAAACATAAATTTTGTTAAAAAATATCAGTTTATCCGCGAAATTTGAAATAGAAAACTCCCTTAATATTGAAAACAAATAAAAATAATACATGGAATTAAGTTTAAAATATAAATACTCACTTCTCTAGCAAATGCTCTGAAACATCAGTAACAAGTAATAATTATTAAAGTAAAATTTTTGTAAAACGTAAGTATTATATAGACACTGAGCATTAAATTTTGAAATCCCGAAATCCCGGGTTTTGTGATGTTGAATCCCGAGTATTTTCGGGAACAAAAATTTGGCCGGGATCCCGGGATTGGAAACTCCAATCGCATATTATATACTTGCGGAAAAATTAAATTCAAAACTTATTAATTATTTTCGATATTTATCATAATCGGTCGCTTAAACATCAATTTTTTCCCGATATGTCATCTAACTTTGCTGTAGGAGAAATGATACAGTCTGTATCTATGCGAGACGACTTTTAATCACATGCCGATACTTTATAAACCAAGTTTAACATTTCTTGAAACGTTCTCTGAAAAGTTTTCTAAAACGAAAGAAAACAAGAAAAGAGATATAGTGATACTTTGGGCTTTCACGCAGAGGGACGTAGAGAAATGTTTGATTTGTTCTTCGGGTCCCGAAAACTGAATTCCGGATTGTCCCTCTCTCTAGAAAAAGAACATTTTTCTATCTAGAAGAGAACTTCTATCTAAAATCAAACAAAAGCTGTTATATATTAATCGATCATTAATCGATCGTCTTTAGATGCTGTTCCGAGAAGAGAAAGTCCTCATGCGCACAGAGAAACCAGCATCTCTCCAACGATGTGAAGAAACGGACGTTATGCAGTATCCAAACGTGGACAGACAAGATGAGAAAATCGCGCAGTTAGTGTTTTACGAGTTTAATAGACGCTAAAACCCGTCGAGAACTCCTTCTTCACACGCTTATCTTTTTAGTCGATGTCGTGCCCAAGAGCTCTTCGACTACATATACCGTTGCGGTGAGAGCGGATGAAGCGCGTGCCAAATGTAAACCGAAAAACTAC